AATAGCAATACAATAATATAATCAATAATAAATATTTAATGAATAAATAAATGTAAAGTTAAATGAAATAAACTAACTAAATGAAAATGCAAAAAATATAAAAATTATATATGATAAATAAATTTAAAGTTAAATTTCAGAATTTAATTAAAAAATCGAATAATAAATTGAAATCGAAAAATCATAAAAATTGATTATTAATTAAAAAGTTTAATAAATAGATATTTTAAATGAATAAATATAAGTAAAATATTATTATAATATTTATATTTAATCATTATATTCTGATTTTTTTTTTAATTTTTTTTTATTTTTGAAAATTTTTATTCAATATTTATATATTAATATAGAAAATTATTTATTTATACATTTAATAATTTTTATTTATTAAATAGAACTTATTTAATGAAAACAAATCTTTTTAAAATTAAATTAATGAATTAAATAATAATAACTCTTTAAAAATAGAAAATTTATAAAAAAAATTGATGAATAAAATAAATAAATTACATTTTTAAATGAAAAAATTAATTAAGATCATAGTTTAAAAATAAGTTAACTAACACAAAGCTACTAAAATGAAATATAAATTTAATAAGAAAATAATAAATCTATATTAAGTCAAATCTAGTAATAAAATTAATAACTTTAAATTTTATTTGAGGAAAAAAGCTACCAAAACAAAAATCAGTCCACATAAGTTAGTTAGTATTTTGAAAATCAATAAATAGAATAAATATAAAATGAATATAATACAAAATAATGTTAATTAAATAAATAAATAAAATAATAGTAAAATTAAATAAATGAACAATTATTATAAATTAATTAATTAGTCCTTTAAAATAAAATATTAGAAGCTCAAAGTATTGAAAAGGTTGATATTATAAATAATTCGAAAGTATAAAAAAAATATAAATTAAAAAAAATTAATAATTTTTTATATTAATTAATTTAATTAAAATAATTTTTAAATTAATAGATTTAAAATTAAAATATTTATTTTATTTATATATTATATATTAAATATATTTAATTATTTTATATTAAATTGAATATTTCTAATTATTATTTATTATTAAAAGAATGATTTTATTAAAAACAGAAATAACAATTTTTGTAATTTTGATGACTTTTAATTATAATATGTTTTGATAAAGTAATAATTATAAAATAATGAGAAAATAATTTTGAAGCATTAATTTGAAAAACAATCTTTGGAATTCAAAATAAAAAATTATGAATAATAAATAGATATTAAAAAATCTGATATGACTTAACTATATTACATTCTTTAATAAAGAAAAATAGAATCAGAAAATTAAATTTAGTAAATTTAAAACTTAGTAACGAATAATTAAGATTTATTTCAAAAAATATAATAAAAAGAAGCTGATATATTGTTAAAAATAGAGTAAAATAACTCTTTGCAATTTTCAAATCAATAATTGTAAAATAAAATAATACAAATAGTATTAAAATTATATTTATCTTATATATAAATATTATAAGATAAATATAATTAGATTAGTATAAATTATAAATAGAAAAACTAGAAGAAAGCTTAAATTAAAGAAGAAAGGAAATCGAAAGTAATTTAATAAATATAAAATAAATAAAATCTAATTTCGAAGTAAATATTAAGAAAAAGAATTAAACATAAGAAAAATTTTGAAGAAAACTAAATAAAAAAAATTAAATAATAAAAATAAAATCACAAAATTTTATAAAAAAATAAAAAGTATAAATAATAGATTTTAAAATAATAAAAAATAATATATTATTTATAAATAAAAAGGAATAATATATAAAATAAAATATATAAAAAATATATATATATATATATATATATATATATATATATATAATATATATCTAACTTATAATAATAATAACGGCTAAAATTATTAAAATATATATATTAATTTAATATAATAATTAGATATAATATTATATATTAATTAATTTTTTATTTCTTAATGTATGGATTTCTTATTAAAATAAATTGTTAGTTGATATTATTTAAATTTAATTATTTATATATAATATTCAAATATTATAAATTAATAGTATAAAATTTAAGAAATACATATTTTAACTAAAAGAATGATAATTATTTAAAAAAAAAATAATTAATTAATAAATATAATTTATAATAAATAAATTTATTTTTCGTAAAATAAAAATAATTAAATAAAAAATAAAAATATATTTATTTTAAATATTGATATAGACTATTTAATTTATATAAGAATAAAAAAAAAATTATTAAATTTAATTAATATTAATAAAAAAAAATATTTATTTATATCAATATAAAATACAATAGCTTGAAATATTTATTCTTAGTTTTTATATTAATATAAAAGTAAATTTAAAATAAAAAATTAGACTAGATTATTACTTTTATCTAATTTTATATGAAAATAATGAAAAATATAAGATACCAAAAACAAAAATATATAAAAATATAAATATTAAAATATATAAATATATAAATATATAAATATATAAAAATATAAATATATAAATTTATATATATATATATATTATTTTTTTTAAACATATTTTTTATAATCTAATATATAAAATTGACAGATTTGTTTTTTTTTATATTATAAATATAATAATTATTTATACAATTTTAATTTTTTTCTTTTTTTATTAATATATAATTAAATTAATATAATTATTATTATTTTTTTTTTCCTTATTTTTATTACAAATATAATAATTAAAGTAATATATTTTAATTTTTAATTACTTCATATATTTCATTATAAATATAAAAAAATATTAATAAGATTGAAATATCATTTGTCATTTATTATACTTCTTTTAAATTATAATAATAATTGTACATATTATATAGAAAAAAATTAATATAAATTGTTTTTTTAAAATAAATAATTTTTTAAAAATTTGGTAATTTAGAAATTAAAATATGAATCCATATAATTAATATCCTCCAGCATAAGGTTATCCTTCTGCATAAGGCTATCCTCCCGCATAAGGCTATCCTCCTGCATAAGGCTATCCTCTAGCATAAGGTTATCCTCTTTAATAGCCTTATTCAGGATAAGGATATCCTTAACCTCCTATGTAACCTGGATTTAATCCTCCACCTATCTAAGGTTATCCATAGCAAGCAATGCCAGGATATCCAATTGCTCCTGTATAAGGATATCCTTAATAACCATATTATCCACCAACTCAATAAGGATATCCTTAACCAGGCTTTTAAGCATTCTAAGGAGGTATTATATATCAAGGAAGGTAATTACCAAGATTGAATTGTAATCCTCATTGCCATAAATGCCATGGAACAGGATATAAAAAAAAACATGGAAGACCTTGCGGAGACTGCTATTAAAATGCAGGATATTGTAAAAAATGCTTTGGAACAAATTGGTACTTTAAAAAAAATGAAAATTGTCATCATAATTACCCTAAAAAATTCAAGCATTATTGAGTTAACTAAGTTAACTTTTTAAATGAAAATAAAAATAATATTAAAAAAAAAAAAAAATTTAATTAAGTATATATTTTATATAATTAATAATAATTTTTTTTTTATTATTTTAATTAAATTATTTTATCTCCATTTTATATTATATAAAACTTTTCGATATTAATATGTTTTAATAATTATTAATATCCTTTTCAATATTTTTAATTAGTTATTTTTATTAATTTTTTTTTTTTTTTCCTCAATTTTTTTATTATAAATTAATGTAATAGATAATAGTATAAAATTTTTTTAATTATTATATTTAAATTAATTTAAATAAATATATTATCCTCATATTTATTATAAAAAAAA